CAGGCGGGTGCCGCGGCCTCAGCCTGCACCCCTCCCAGCAGGGTGCTCGCTGCGGCCCCGCAGCCTTCCTGCTGGAGGCCACTCTCCCCCGCTGAGCTCTGACACCCCATCTGGCAGGGGCTGAGGTAGATGTGGGGCCCTGCCCCACCCCGCAGACTAGAGGAAGTGTGCGTCTCCTGGGTTCAGAACACCCTGGGCCACCGCCCCAGGAGAAAGGTCAGGAGGTGCCCGGAGCCCCGCCCACACCTTCAGATGCGGCCTCTCAGTGCTGCCTCGCTGAGCACCACACCCAGCGCGTCCAGGAGAGTCCCGGCCAGCGTGAGACCCGCACTGTACAGGGGACAGTCGCGTGGCAGCTGCAGGAGGAGGCGCCGCTGGGGGCACAGCCTGGAGCCCTGGTGCTTTGTGCCTGTGCCCAGCGCAGAGGTGGTGCTCTGAGCCTCTGTCAGACAGACAAGTGAGGTAATGTGTGAGCTGGGCTTTGAAGGATGAATAGGAGTTCATCAGGGGGAAGCAGAGAGGCACATCCCCAGTGGAGGACACAGTGTGAGCCATGGCCTGGAGGTGGGCGAAGACCCTGTGTTTCCTGCTACAGACCCCTTAGTCAGAGGGAACAGGTGGACCCTGGCCCGCCAGGAGCCCATGTCCCCTGTCCCCTGTCCCCTGTCCCCGGCCTTGCTGGTGCCCTGAGTCTTCTTCAGCCCCCGAGCCTGCCCCCATGTCCCCTTCTCTCTCAGTACCAGCCCCTCCACCAGAGCCTCCCCTGACCACCCCAAGTGCTGGCTGTCAGGACTTCCTGCCCCTCCCCCCTGCCAGTCCATGTGACCCCCAAGGCAGACTGGACAGCAGCTACTGGGCAGACTGGACAGCACCCACTGGGCAGATGAGACACTGAGGCCAGGGAGGGTGCCAGGGTGACCCAGAGTGACGCTTACAGCTGGGGTGGGTCCAGCCAGGGTCCCCTGCCCCGAACCTGAGACCAATGCTGAGAACAAGACAGGGGGCCCGTTCAGGCGGGTGCTGCCCCGGGGCCCGGCTGGCCCTGCATTGTCACAGAAGGAGGAGGAGGCGCCCTTCGCTCTAAACGCTGCAGTTCCAGTGCTCAATGCAGACACACGCCCGGCCCAGCGCCGCGTTCGGCCGGGCCA